AACAGGTCGAAGAGGTGAAAATTACGCAATTTTTGCCTAATCTCATCAACTCTCTATATCTTGCCCTGAAGAAAGTAGCATTACTGTCCCTATCAAATCGTTGGGGCCCTGGGGCTGAAAACACAATCAGTTGATTTTCATTCTACACTTTCGGCATTTGAATCAAATAAGATGAACCAACATATCTATGAAAAATTTGATATCAATTCCGATTTCACTGGAAATAGATAGAGAATTTTGAATGGAATCCTTTTGAAAGAATTTCATTCCATTCATGAAATTTTGAAGGAAGTTCTAGTGATATATAGAATATCATTTGAAAGAATTTCTAAATGGAATCCTAATTGGCGATGAATCTGAACTTTCGACGTGTTTCATCAAGAACTTATCAGAGTGCTTCGTTTGTTTGCTATTCCATCAGGTTGCTTGCCGAGAATTCGATCGATGACGTCACAGTGTCGCTATATTTATTCAAGAAACAGCAACCCTAAGAACCAATGTTTATTTTGAGGGAATATATATTTTTGATCCATGTTTTAAAATAAGGAACAACTGAATGACGCTCATCAGGAGGAAGGTGAAAACCTGACTTATCATAATGTAAATGCAATTTCGTTCATGCTGCCATCATGCATGGATATTCTGGATAGTGTGCAAATTATCGTTTTCGTATACAGAAGCATAAGCAATAAAGAGTTAATCATGGAAGTTCGAGGGAGTTTGGTTCGATAATAACATAAAACGTGATAGTACATTTTCAATTTAGAAAAATTATTCAGGTTGTTTGGAAGTGTTTCCACTTCTAGCTATATTAAAGAATTTATCTACAACTATTGAGTCTTGCATGCATTGCTAGCTCGATTTCCAACAGTTAATTACGGACATTATTGTGATGAATCGAATAATAAAAGTTGATGATGACAGTAATTTGGAGTAATTATTTGTCATCCCAACTTCTTCTCAAAGTCAAATATAGGTAGGTGTTCGTTTTACTAAGAATGAGTTTAGATTTCTTCATTGAATATTGTAATTTCGATCGATAAGTTTTCGATGACATTGACAAGTATATTTCAACTAAGATTCATTCACATTGCAATATAACCTTCTTTGTTTCCATAATGGTATATTATGTAACAAGTGTTATAAACGTCCTTTTAGTAACGAGTATTTTGAGCACGAGCGGAGCAGAGCGGAGCGAGTGTTTAATAAACGAGTGTCTAGAAGAGTTTATAAACGCGTTACATACTATGCTTTTTCTAAGAACTCCAAAAATTACATCAACATACCTGCTATTCCTTCCTACTAGCCTACAAAATAATTCTTAAGGAATGGGAATTGAGAACATTATAATACATGCAACCAGCGAGATACGTATAAGTGATATTGGTTGTAGATGTGTCCAGTCCATTGCTTACTAACCTTTGTTTCACGTTCATTGTCATGCTTAGCGCAGAACAAATAAATTGTTCTCAAAGATGGATGCTTCATTTTTACACTTCTTGTAGATATGCAAGTACCAGAACATTCTCTTCGATTTCACTTTCGTCTACATTTCGCATATATTTTTGATGAAGAATTCTGATACAAACGAAAATTGTTTGAATAATTCTGATTCCAAATTTGAAAATAACAGTTGACAGTTGGTACAATTGACAGGCCAGATATGTCTCAAATTACTGAAGCTGTGTTTAATGAACTATGTTGCCATGGTAATGTGTTTAAGAAATCGTGTTGCCATGGTAACGTGTTTAATATTTTGAATAAATCACAGATTCATCGATCGTTTAGCGTGGTACATAATATCCGTACGCTAAATGCCATTTTGGTTATGTGAGTAGAAAAATATCTTTATGAACTCTCATAGCTGCTCTGATATTCTAATAGGTAGATAATGTTTAGTATTCAACTTTCGCATAATGGCTAAAGTATATACACACTCAAATGATTATAGCACTTACATCCGGCTCTTACTACAACTCTCATCTCCGTTCAAATAAACTTTTTTCTACGAAGGTAGTTCTCGTAATTTTTATGAGTCAATAAGGACAAAGCCACCTCTATCATAATTTACCTGATTTCACTGTTCTGATCCGAGATTCGTACAAATGGCACTCGAATCTAGGGGATACATCAATATTGACTTGTCATAATAATGCTGGCTTGTTGATGGCTATCAGATTCTGATTAGGATTGGAAATAAGTGCTTTCATCGTCACAATAGGTCCCTTTATATCTCAGCACAGCCGTCTTCAACTATCGCCATTAGTGGTGCGATTCCTATCAAATTTGGACCGGTAGTAATAATCATCAGTATGCTCGAAATTTCGGATACGAACATGTTTTCGGATAGTGCCGTGTTTTTATTTTATAATGAGCGGTCGAATTATCATCAGGCACTTTTTTGAGCAGGAAAACTAAGTTATATATATTATTGGTGCTCAAGAAACAGATAATTGCACAATTCGTCTTAATCTGTTTGACATGTCTGTTTGTGAACGCATATTATATTACATGAATACGTACTGATATGTATGTGGAGATGATTGAAGCTGAAGAAAATATAGAGTGTGTATGACACAAGTCATTCTGATTGTATGGAAAAAAAGTTGACATGAAATATTGAACCGGATTGGAAGATAAATACATATTATATTAACGATCGTGGTGGTCTGAAAATTTTGTAAGGGAATGTGAATTTCATGCGTCAACATTATACATATACATCTTCGTATCAGAATCCGATTCTGGAGATAAAAAGTTAATGAACTCGGCCACAATAAACGGAAGAATATTCAATTCAAAACTAGTGATGATCAAAGCACTGCACTTTCTCATTATATGGAATTAATTTCCAAGAAGCTGCTTTTCGATATGCAATCAGGATATCTCTCTGAAAACCTGCATTCAATGTTTTCTGTGCTATTCTGTTAGTGCTGCTCGCTGCGTCACCTGCAATGCTTGTATTATCTGCGTCTCAATAAGCGCTCGATCTTATTGTCAATTGAGTGGGTGTCTTATACTGGGTGTTTCCGAAATTGAAGCGATCAATAGAATGGATGATAGGGAACCAAAAAACAAAACGAAATAGAAGTATACATTTGTGTCGAAAAACAAATATTTTGAAAGATATTGAGCTTGCCTGGAACTTTTGTGAATGATTGATCAGAGGTTAATAGCCCAACCCAAGCGTTTGATTTCGGCGAGATCACAAGCACTGGACTATTGCAATGTTACCGGACGTTTAATAATAATAACAATTATGTCTCAAAGAACACCCCATTTTATTCAAATAGTTGTACAGTCTTTGAATCTCCTGCAGAATAATTAATTGAAAATAAAATTTTTCGTCGCAGAGCGTTTTCAACTATAGGGCTGCGCGATATTGAATTTAGTCATCATTTCTTCAATATTCGAATGGATCGATGAATATCGATATATCAATAAATATCGATATAACGATGAATATCGTTACATCGATACACATCGATATATCGATGAATCGATCAATTTCTGTAGTTATATCGGAGACTGAATCCTTTGGCACGATGATACACTACACACTGTTTTTCCACTAACCAAACCGTTTTTTTAACGCCTCGATTATTTTAAGTCTAGACTTGTGTTTCGCTAACTATGTCAGCATCTTCAGGAGAATATTAAAATTGAATGTTTCATCCTAGTGTGCAAATTATAAGTTAGGGAGATCAAAATCTGAAACTGTCACCTGTCGTTCGATCTGGTATTGATATGTATCATTATATAAATTGTTTGTTTGTATTGCGAGGTGTCATGTAGGCACACATATATAAATATCAGGATTCATGATAAATTTAAGATTACTAAGGGTGATTGTTATGATAGCTTTTGAAGCATTTGTTTTCAATATCGTAAAATGAAGGTTCTTTCCGTGAATCTTAATCATTAATATTATATGAATCCCACGAATATACCAATATCAAAATGTCTTTAAAAAACATCGATATGTCTTTCGAAAATTATTGTTACATCCACATAAATCGATATGATTATCTATATATGTATCACTGAAGAAAAAAAGATGGTAGTTATTACCAAACGTTCAGTAAAATAGGCGCCAGTCACAACTTCCATCAAATGATACCACTACAATATTATTTAATACTATACTATATCAAATATCACCTCTACAAAATAGTATAATACTCATAGTTTGGTATAGTACAACATTGTAGTGGTATTATTTGATGAAAGTTGTGACTGGCGCCTATTTTACTAAACGTTTGGTAATAACTACCATCTTTTTTTTTCAGTTTACCTATCGTGATATTCAAACCGGGTAGTTCAAATCTGAGAGCCTCGACTGAAATCTGAGGAACTTCAGGAAATGACACGCAGAATGTTTAATTAGGGCAAAGTTGTGCAATGTGCATTGAGGTGCAAATATCTAGGTATCTCACGTGAACAAGGAATTTCTAATGAGTGCTGTGGAAAAGCCTCATTGTGGCATTCAACGTCTATTTCTTGTTGTTTTCTCCTTGATAAAAAAATTAGGTGAATATAGTGGTAGTCATCCTCGATGAATAACCCTGTGATACTTTTGTTTCAAACACGAAATTCAACGATATAGGGCCTTGAGGATCTCTACATGATATTTCTCAAACGCAATGACTTTTTGGGGCAAATCACCTGAGTTATTCCCACTTTGATAATATACCTATACATATATTGAAATGATATCCAATATTCCAATTTCTAAAAAGGAGAGAAATAAATATTCCATCTCAGCGAGACAGTATAACAGAGGCTCATTCCATGAAGTTGGTAAAACATTTCTGTTTTGGTTTTTTATACAAATATCCATAACTCATCTCAAGACAGAATATTTGAAGTCTTTCCAGATATATTATTTCCACTCACTTTCGATGTCCTTCTTCCTTCCAATGTGAAACACCTTATATAATATCTTCATCTTCATTTTGATTTGGGGTTGACCTAAATACCAGTTTTCCTTTTATTTCCAGAAAATGCGACTAGACAGTGTCTGCCGAATGCGACATGGACCAAACCGGACTTCTCGAGGTGCAAAGAAATCGTTTCAATGTCTGACGACGTGGAAATCCACAAGGCAATTTACTTCGCAGGATATACCTTGAGCCTTCTGTTTCTACTTGTAGCAATAGGAATCTTCACACATTTCAAGTGAGTGACGAGAATCTCTTCGGCTGACGTAAGAATCTTATACAGAGTTGAAATACGAAATATCATGGATAGTTGAACTGGAATGGAATGTTATTGACTAGGGGACAACTAGAACGTCAGAATATAAAGGGTGTTTCACAGATGAAGGGAAATATTTCAATGGTACATAGGGGTCACCAAGGTGGTTCTGAAAATACCATATTTGATAGGTCTTAGAGTCTTCATAACAGAGATACAGGGCGATATATCGATTTCGAATAATTATTCATTCGTCTATAAGTATTGAACTACCCAGTATATTTTTCTAAAATTTGGTATGGAGCTTATACTTAGGACGTTGAATTCATTCACCTATCGGGCGGAGTGAAAATCCAGGTTCGGCTTCAGGAAAAATTTACATTAATTCGAAATATTAAAATAACACACTGTATGTAATAATTGACAGACTTCATCAAAGGAATCGTGGAAAGGAGAAAAAACTGAACTGGATTTGATGCTTTTTGTTTTTCCGCCACCAATTCTCATCGTAACAATCATAAACAGAAAGCTAAAAGTATGTCAATTTGAAGAGTATTGAAATTATGAAACCACTTACAATTAAGATAATTTGATATATTCTTGTTAAATGATCGTTCGAAAGGACTTACTCAGTCTCACAGTCTTTATAACAAAGATACAGGTTGAATTATTGGTTTCGAATAATTATTCACTCGTCCATATAAGTAAGACTACCCATCGCAGTACCCTCAAATTTGGTATTGAGCTTACTCGGGACGATGGATTCATTGACCTATCAGGCAGAATGGAAATACAGATTCAGCTTCAGAAATAGTCTCATATTAGTCTTTATAACTGAGATACAGGGTGAATTATCGAATTAGAATTATTTGGTATCATTTCCATTTTGCCTGATAGGTTGATGAATCCATCGTCCCAAGTAAGCTACATACCAAATTTGAGAAAATGTTACTGGGTAGTTTAAGACTTATGGAGACTGTGAGACTTAGTGAGTTCTTTCGAGCGATTTTTTCACTGAAATATCAAATAATCATAATTGACACTGGTTTCATAATTCCAATACTCTTCAAAGTGAAATACTTTCAACTTTCTGTTACGATGAGAATTGGTGGCGGGAAAACAAAAAGCATCATACACAATTCAGTTTTTGCTCCTCTTCACAATTCTTTTGATGTACTGTGTCAATTATTGAATACAGTGTGTTATTTTAATGTTTCGATAAATGTAAATTTTTCCTGATGCTGAACCTGGATTTTCACTCCGCCCGATAGGTGAATAAATTTAACGTCCCGAGTTTAAGCTCCTCACCAAATTTGAGAAAAATATGCTGGGTAGGTCAATACATATAGACGAATGAATAATTATTCGAAATCGATAAATCGCTCTGTATCTCCGTTATGAAGACACAAAGACCTATCAGATATGGTATTTTCAGAACCACCTTGATGACCCCTATCTACTATTGAAATATATCCCTTTACCCATGGAACACCCTGTAGAGTATCAAAATAAAAGTAACCTATACAAAAACATTTCATAAGAATGGTAATTCGTAGGGAACGTTGTTGACAAGAACTGTATTATTTTGGTATATATTTCATCGCAATTTAATAGATCGAACAGTAATTAGTAGGAATGTATAATAACAAAATGTAATTTGACAAAATGCAATCGATCAGAATGGTATTTAATTAGAACCGTATTCGATCAAAAGAGAAAGTTATCCGAACCATATTCCACCGCATGACGGTAATTCATAAAAATTTTATTCTGTCGAGAGGATATTCTATCAGAATCGTATTATACTGTAGATTCTATCAATTAGGATAGAAAGATTCAGCAGAACCCTAGTTTAAAGTTGATGATAACAGAAATTTGAAGTGTCGAATGGTAACTCAAGAGAACCTTATTTCATAGCATCAGTATTTCGTATTTCGTCAAAACCTCACACAATCATCAGACATTTACTAGACCAATTAGATTAGATCCAAAATTTCCAGGGGCGTACCCAACGAGCAAGTCGGTTTTTTGTATGAAAAAAGTCACTCTGTTATGTTTTCAGGCTCTTCTTCAATATTCAATAGATGAACTTACTGAATATAGAACATTTCTGTCTTTTGCTATTTTATCGTATCTTGCTTCGTTTTCGAGAAAAACGGACAATATCATGCCTCGGTATCACAGAAAAAATGTCGGTAGTGAATATGGAACATTTAGTATAATAGGCGCCAGTCACAACATTCATCAAATTATACTAAACTGTATGTATCATACAATTTTGTAGTGGTAATATTTGATTAAGTATATAGTATTATATAATGTTGTAGTGGTATCATTATATTAATGTTTTGACTGGCGCCTATTTTACCAAACTTTTGGTAATCACTACTGACTATTTTTTCGAGTCTATATATCTGAAAAATATAAATGTTCATATATCACCTATATCCAACAATTTATTGCACATTATTATTTGAAATCAGAAAAACATATATTGTGAAATTCAATATTCTATTGAAAATGTGAATAGGATCTCGAAATTTCATGAGGAATATTTTTTCAAGATATTATTGAAAAACCCATTTGTTTTCAAACTATATCTCGGAAACGAAAAATTTTCGGACCCATTATCATTTGAACTATTTCCCATATTTTGTTGAGAGGAATCTCCCCTAGAGCCTATTGTCACCAGAATTCTGATGCACCCTGTGTATGTCACTTTTATTTCTCATGTTCACATATTTCATATAACATGATATAAAGGCATTTATATCTGCAAACATGTTCCTATTTGACGTGTGTATAATGGTAGAAATTCTTAAATACACTGATATATTCTATTCTATTTAATTCTATTCCATTCTGATTGAATTTTCCTCTCTGATATACAGAAGTAGTTTCTCGCGTTCAGAAGTGACATGCGATCACCCAGCAAACATTGATACATGGTCCATCACTTTTATAGCAATGTCACCCCAGTAGACTATTTTTCAATGGTATATCACGAAAGTTGCCCACTAGCCGACTTAACGCCAATATTGGCAATGCTGTACATCCATTTACTGCTTTTTCATTGTTGGTTCAGTATTGACTGAATGACGTATTTTCAGTCCATTCCCAATGAAAATCAAGTGGTTTAGTTCTACATGAATAATTTCGTGGTTACGTATAGAATTTATTATTACACCAATAATGATAATAGTAATTATTACAAAAAAACTTCTCGTATTCAAATATATACAGGGTGTTTCAGTTTTTTGTAGCAGAACTCTAACAGCTTGAAGAAGACATTTTCCAAGATGAAAATCTCATACAAACATATATGCGTAGGAACTATCGTTTCCGAATTTTTTTATGTTCTTTGAATTTCCTCCTACAATTGTCGAAATAATTGATTGAAATTTTGTATACCTAATGCACTCTAAAAACTCAATATTTGAGGCTATTGAGCGTTCTTGAATACCTACAGGGTGATAGACTTTCAGGGGTCGTACCCAATTTAACCCTATTGAACTTTTTTGCGTGCCGTCTCTGCTTTCAATGGGACAAAAATTCAGATTGTCCTCTGAATTTGGAAACTTTTTGCCGCTATGTGAATTCTTCGAAAACTGTATGGATCTCGAGATAAATGCCATAAATAAATTACTTGTAATAAAACCGTTATTTCTCAAACACACTTATTTGACATTTCCTAACCATTTTATTGGAAAATGGAATGACCGAAATCTTCCATACCGAATGAAATACAGTTGCAAAATCAGATTGAATTTTTTGAACACCAATATGGAAAAACAAAGAAAAAATGTTTTTATTTCAAAAAAACCCTAATAGCACACAACGTCCTAGCGACGTCCTAATTTGGTACAATTCAAGTCCGAATGTCCCGGACCAAAAATAAGTGTCCTTGGGACATCCCATCCCGTACATCTCATGCAATGTCCGAGTAAGGACGTCCACGAAATGTCCCAGCTGGTACATCATTTTAAATGTCCTAGAAATAGCATTCCTCAGACGTCCCACGTGGTACATATTGTAGAATGTCCATGCAAGGACGTCCTTGGTATGTCCCTGATGGGATATGATTTTGAACGTTCCTCTAGGGACATCCATCGGATGTCCCGAGTAGTACATATTCTGGCTTGACCTTATATCTTATATAATGCGCCTTTTAGACAACCATGAAATGTCCCTGATAGAACATTCCTTCAAATATCTCTGCACAGACGCCATTAATATTTCCAGGATCGTATAAAAATCGAAATGTCCCTTAGGGACATCCTTCGGATGTCGTAATTGGTACATGAACTGTACTTATCCAATGTCCTAGAAATAACGTCCTATGGACGTCCCAGTCGGTACTTTCAATATGTTGTCCCTGCGAGGACGTTAACTTACATCTCGCCGACGAATGATTGCTCGCAGGCTATAAATACTCCCCATCAATGTCCTTCACGTAAGTCCATTGGACATCCTTGGGAAACTTTTCCAGGATCTATTGGAGACCTTCTACGGACCATCAACCCAACTGGATGTCCTTATCAGTTATGCAAGATCTGGTCCTAGAGGTACTCAGAAAAATTCAAATTCAAGAATAATTCGTACGACCCTGGGACATCCTATGGACATCCAATTGATATTCCTCAGCGTTGCTGAAAGGTTGTTCTCGATAGTTGTCCCAGGGACGTCCCCCAAGGACGTCCCTAAGTGGTCCTCAAGTAGGACATTTGTGCGTCCCACAGACGTCCAATCTACGTCCACGGTACCAAATTCGAACGTCCTATGGACGTCCTAAATGTCCCGACAGGACGTCCTAAGGATATCCATGGGACATAATTGTGTTATTAGGGAACTTCTCTAACTGGATTGCAATATCTGAAATTGTATCGTAGAAAATTCTAGGACACCCTGTACAATTGAAACTGGTTAAACTTTCGATATCAGGGACTGTATCACACACGGTCCAGGCGCTATACATCGCTAGACTGTCGCTTCTGACGATTGAGGTGTTGTGAGTTTTAATAATTTTATCTCATGAACGACAGTTCTAATTTTATCAGTACCCTTAGAAGTGGTTCGGATTCCACTCTTATTTATCTCGAAATCCATACAGTTTTCGAAAAAAATAGATTTACCAAAATTCAATCAATTATTCCGAAAATTGTAGGAGAAAATTCAAAAAACATTAAAAAAATCTGAAACTTTGACACCCTGTGAATCGGAAACAAAGCTTCCACGCATATATGTTTGTATGAGATTTTCATCTTAAAAAAATGTCTTCTTCAAGCTGTTGAAGTCCTGCTACAAAAAACTGAAACACCCTGTATATCAGCCAAGAATTCACGAATTCAGCTTCTGTTGATTGATATTGTAATTTATAGAATACCTTAACATGGCCAAAACTTGGGACCTCCTCTTCTTTGGTATCTCGAATGAACCATTCATGGAATTCAAGTTAGCTATAAATAATAACTGCATATCACCTAGCCTGCTGCAACAATAGTCAGGTAGAAACAAAGACTCAAGTCCGAGGTTGAAGTTCCTAGTTTCCTTTCATGACTGAAACTTAATGGTAGAGATACTATAACATATCACGATGGATCAGATAGAGTAGGCCCTGGATGGATGCTCTCGAAGAAGATTATCAGTTTATATACAACTGAATGCGTTATTTTGATTCGATGAGATTGAATAATAATGCAGTCACATATAACTTTTTCTATTTATTCACTTGTTTACTTCACATCAAATGACGGTTCATGCGCAGAAGGATGAATGAACAAATCAGAATGAAGTACCTTTGTCGATTGTCGAAAAAATGCTGTCAATAAAATGCATCGGATAGGCTGATGGTCCATTATCATTTTATTGAAGACTGAATGACATTGAGGAACCTAAATTATTTTTATTATTCGTTCTAACAGTACTGGTTGAGTGATCTTTGTGAAATGGATTATACCTATATTGATTACCTAATGCCTTAAAAATAGTGTAATCCTGATCGATAGGAAATACACTATTGTACCAGGACAATGCATGTGCAACATACGTATTATATGATTCAAACTGTAGTTAACATGTACAGGGTGGGCAAAATTGGGCGTTTTCACCGTCTATCTCAATAACTAGAGGAGTTATCGAAAAACCGATATACATGTTCCGGGTTCGATTTTGGAGAAACCTCGAATGGCACAATCAAAATTTCGATATCTTCATTCGTTTTAGAGATACAGGGGGAAATTGAAAATTTTCCGATTTCGATTTTATTTTCTGACTACTTTACGGTGAGAGGTAAAAGAAAATTCCAAACGTATATTTATACAGAATGATGCGTGGATTCCATTGGCATCATCATAAATTTTATACAGGGTGACGTTGAGAAGATGCGGCAGCCAATTATGTTTTTTCTAATGGAACACCTCGTATATTTTGGCACAGTTGAATAGTCCCAGGCGTTCTCATTACAAATATATATATAACCCTACCGTTTTTTTCCACAATTTCAGATATATTCGCAAAAATATATTCAGTGTGTCACATTTCTTATGGTTACACCCCCGTATCTTCTGTAAAAATAATTTAGGTAGGATTAAAAATGATACACTCATGGAGTCATGGACAAAGTGATATCATCTCCAATGATAACACTGCTCGCCAGCAGCTATGGAATCATCGATATTTCTAGATAATGCTATCAACAGGCAGAATCGAGGTTGAAAATGACACTCTGTATATATTCACCAAAGGTGGAAAATGATTATCATAGGGAATGTTATTTCCAGACAAATGGATATTTGGTGAGAAATAAAATGGGAAATTATTCGATTTGATATCATTGTTATCAAGACATTTGAGATACAGAAATAAGACCAATAATTTACTCAATTAGGAAATCAGTAAGTTGTGTTGAAAAATAAAGCCTCATAGAAGATGTCCATGTACAATTTTTGAATCCTACCTCAATTATTTTTACAGAAGATACGGGGGTGTAACCATAAGAAATGTGACACACTGAATATATTTTTGCGAATATATCTGAAATTGTGGAAAAAAACGGTAGGGTTATAGATATATTTGTAATAAGAACGCCTGGGACTATTCAACTGTGCCAAAATATACGGGGTGTTCCATTAGAAAAAACATAATTGGCTGCCGTATCTTTTCAACGTCACCCTGTATAAAATTTCTGATGATACCAATGGATTCCACGCATCATACTGTATAAATATACGTTTGGAATGTTCTGATACCTCTCACCGTAAAGTAGTCAGAAAATAAAATCGAAATCGGCAAATTTCCAATTTCCCCCTGTATCTCTAAAACGAATGAAGATATCGAAATTTTGATTGTGTCATTCGAGGTTTCTCCAAAATCGAACCCAGAACATGTATATCGGTTTTTCGATAACTCCTCTAGTTATTGAGATAGACGGTGAAAACGCCCAATTTTGCCCACCCTGTACTTCTTCATCACCGGAAGATAGTGCCAGCAGTATACCATCGATCAAATCAATGGGCCATTGTATCGCCAGCTATGTCGTGATTGCTGGGTGGAAGTATGTTCCTGTTATTCGGAGCATAAGTTATAATAATTAATGAAAACTGCCGAATGATATATCACGCATACATCAAAAGCGCCAAAGAGTGAATCATATCATACAATTATCACGGCGAAGAATAGATATGATACTACAAGAAGGCACAGAGGCGTTGAGTATAGAAAACGAACACCAAATGTTGCAAAGAACCTGACAACTCAAAGAGATTTTCACATCACAATTAAACGACATTGGTACAGGAAACGAGCGGAAAACAACTCATTTCCTGGGCAAAGCGACCGCAGAAATTAAAGGACACAAAGCAAGAGAACAGTATAGCAAATTTCTATTTCTGGACAAATATTTATCAGAAAATATATGATAATTGTTGATTGTCGTTTGCTAGGGTTCAGGAAGTCTTAACGTTGACGATATATTCTTTGGAACAGGAATGATATTCCTTTCCTGCATGCATTTTTCTTTTTATGCCTCCATGTTGATATACAGGTGGTGAGAATTGTAGATTCAAAACAGTTTCATCAAGTATTCGAGTAGATATCGATTTCAAATTCGATATGAAAAAAAAAAAAAATTATTGAGAATAGGGAGGTTATGATCTACTTTCTACTTGTCCCCCTTTGAAGTCACTGGGGCTGTTATTGAAAAGCAGTAGGGCAATGAATTCATGGGCGCAGTCGCTTGAAGGCAAGGGGGTGGCGTCAGGCCTTCAGGTCAGGTAGCCGTGCGGATAGAGTGTCAGTATTCTAATCCGCATTCGCTTGCCGGTCGTGGGTTCAATTCCCAGCGACTGCAGAAATTTTTCTGATGACCCAAGAAAGTGTTTGGGATCGCTCAAGACTCTCGAAGACTTCTGAGGGTTGCTCGTAAGAGGGCAACCGAATGATGGATATAACAATTTTAAAAAAATTTTTATTGTCTAGACGCGATATTTGGGTGTAAAAAGATTTTGTGAACTATATTTCTGATGTTACCTACAGCATATTGCTAAATATATCGAATAGATAAGTATACGGATATATACATTCTTTTTCTGAACTTCATTTGAATTTTATTCGATTTACCAAAGAGTTTCAATTTTGCTAACAGTATAGTTCTTCTAGAATAAAAACAGGTTTCCTATTCTAATGAGATATGTTTTTTTAATTGGTCCATTTTACTTATACAGGGTGAGTCAAAAATGTGTACCGAGCTTTCTGGGGGTGATAGAACATTGAAAAATAAGTGTAGTTTGATGATTAAACTCATGGCTCAAAATGCATATTAAGGGAAATATATCCTTCCAAAGTTGATAAAATTAAAATAATTTCTCCGCATAACTTCTGAACGATGAAAGCCACCCGATTGAAACTTTGTGCATGAATGTATGTTGGCACAATACATTTTTTCGTCACACTTCCATATTTCTGATATTGTTATAAAGGGTGTTTTCAGAGGGTGAGTCATGATTTTTTGTAGAAAACTTTTTTCCCTGTATTATTTTCGGTGAAAAAATAGGAGCATTTGATGGAGCGAAGAAAATTACATGAAAAAGGTACTCCTATTCAAATACAAAAAATTGAGCCGTTCGTGAGATATTTGAGTTTTTGTAGTTACATGATATCAGCAGATTGATTTTATTCATCGCGAGATTCATCGGTAACAATATTTTAGCATCGTGATCAGTACCTATACTTCCTGTTATATTTCAAATTGAATGAATATGATTTGATTGAAGGAGAACTTCATTAGTTATAAGATATTAGACATAGTATAAAATATTTTTGATACCGCACAATGAGAAATTGTATGAATATTTATTTTTGTTACAGAGAATTACGATGTTTACGAAATACAATACATATGAACCTAATGTGGTCCTATATGCTAACGTACTGCATGTGGATTCTGACATTAATATTGGTGAGTAAACAGAGACACGCAGTAGATAGTTCCTCCTGAGGCATGAAGTTTGTGTTTGAGTTTCAGTTAGAACTCGTTAGAAGTTCAAACTAACACCGATTATAATGATGCAAACAGATGTAAACTCAGAGTTAACGCACAATTTGACTATTTCAATGTTCGTTATTTGGACGTTTGGAATTCAACACAAAGCATCTTTGGATAAATGTTATATCGGAGGCAACATTCACAATACGGTATACAGGGTTAGGAGGAAGTATAAAACAGGTGAATATCTCGGTAACCGGTCGTTATATTTTCAGAATTCATGTACAGGGTGATTTCAAAACGTGGCGAATTTGCATATGATATCTACAATGTTGCCTCGTGTCCAGTTATTTGGGAATTATTATCAATTTCCTTATTTCAAATTGAACACAAATTTTCAGATTATCGAGCTGATTACAATCACGTCTAACAGAAGCTGAAATTTAAAACTTGTTCTAAATATTTGTCATGTTGGATCAAACAATAAGGTTAGGACGTTTTTTTTTCATGTTTTCTCCATTGATTATTATGTTATCTTAGGAATGAACAAGAAATACTTTCATTTATATAATCAATACTTCAAAAATGCCTTTCCTGGTAATTGGACCATTTCGGATAATTATAGGAATATTTTTGTCTTGATCCAATCCCAAATTTATGCTTGGTTGACCAGATACTTTGTTATGGTACCTCATTTCTGCAGGTATATGTTCACGCGCATATATAGATTGATGAAAATCTGAAACTTCTCCTATCCATTCTTTGGTAATTCTGAAATTCACTATGGGATATCTGCCAGTCTGCATGACTTCATCAAAAATCATAGGTAGGACTCATCTACCATTATTTCTATTTTGAAGCCATCATCTTGTACATATCTCCCTCTTTTTTTCTGAAATCACCTTGTATTACAAATACAAGACAAGACAAAATACTTGCCATGAAATGTATTTCTATATAAGTTCTCCTTGTGATTTCTTCCATTTGAGAGAACCTATCTAACCAATATTTCAGTTCAAGAATCTTCGAATCGTGGGACAAAGATTTCTTGACATTTCAAACCACTTGATTCAAACAGGCCAGAATGACGTCGCATTAAACAAACTTGACCAAAATGTTGGACCGTGGAACACGGCCTTCACGGTCAGGTTAGAATCTTTCATAAGATCATTCATAAGTTTTTTGAACTGGATAATGTCTGAAATAAGTACGCGTCTTATGCTTTGTATACCTGATCTTGAAATATATGAACTCATCATGATATACTGATTTTTGGGTGAGCCATCTTTCCTAATGAATTTGGTATATGAGGTTCACCGAATAAAGAGGTGAGTTGGCTCAAAGAAGGAATCATCTTTATATGGAGATGAAGCCATATCATTAGGTGACTCTTCAGATTTCGTCAATGCGTGACTCTTCAGAGACGTCGTGACATTTTGAAGACGAGTTTATGAGTTGTGGCGAAAATTAGACGCAAACATGCAAGGCTGATGACTGGGTGAAGTGCATATAGTTTGCCTGATGATTCTACGACACGTGCTAAATATTTGCTTACTTTCCTCATTCTTGTGGTGTGTGAAATTCTCAGTTTTATACTTCACTATTGCATTTACCTCTAGTTGCGCCATCAAACCTACGTGTATGAGGAGATATGGTGTTTGGGTTTTTCCTTCTTCGTTCACCTGAGAATGTCGCTCTACATTCAAATGATTGAAACATAATGATTATATTATAGCCATGTTGATGATATTAGAGTATGATCTGAGAAAATTAGCATTTATTGAAATTATTCCAAATGATATCACGATTTTTCCGATGAATGTGGATCATCTATCCTCTATATATTCTATACAGAGTGGTCCAGGTTGAGAGTCATCAATTTTGCAAGATGATAGAACATCAACCAAGACGTAACCTTCTATGAAAAAACTCTGTTGAATAATGTTACCTATGAAGAAGGGTGTCACAATTTTGACACCATGTTTGGTGTTAATATTTTTATTCATCATTATTATAGGTGATTTCTTCTGCCAAACAGGAAAACTCTATTTTCAGATTGGAGGGCAGCCCAAATTCTGTATCAGTATTTCGCTAGAGTTAACAACGTTATGATCTTCAAAAAATATGAGTTCCTCCATCTATGGAATAAGAAAATATCCACAAATCCATCAATTGATTCGGAATAATGTCTATACAGGAAACACCTTCAACCGTTCATGTATCATCATAGTAGTTAGTGAAATCCTTTAAATTCAGATGGGTATCTCGAAAATAAAGTCACCAATCATGAATTTGAGCCCTATATAGAACAGGAAATCAGAAATTTGATTATTGAGAAGCACCTAAGATTGGAAAAGGGAGAAGTGGGTGAAAACACAGTCAATAACAACTCAGGAACTATCCTCGTCTCATGTTCATTTTATCACATATATCTATTTTTCATTCTCTCTTCATCATGATAGTTTAATTGTTTATGCCATCTGTTGTTTTGAGAATGTGACGAAAAATTGGAGAATTGATATCGTTCACCATTTGTCGCACTAGCTGTTAATTCTTCCCGCTTGAATGTGTTTGCTTTTATTGATCCCATGTGATTATTCGAGGATATAGAGATCGATTAATGCCGTGTGACCCTCAACTCATGCACCACTGCACTTGGTCTAAGAGCATTTCAGAGATATCTAACATTAGCGCTGGATTATCCTTGTCTTAACGATGCTTGCATCTGTCTAAGGCGCTATTAGCTACACCAATTCGTGTATCCGAGTTCTATCAGGTAGAGGATTATTCTAATTTTATTGAGTGATTGAACAAACCAAAACTTTTTTTCGACTAAATTCCAACACTGGTAAATTATAGCCTGAGTAATAAGATTGCAAAGATTGAAAAATTGCACCTTGAAATTTGTTGAACAAGAAAGAGGAAAGTATCGACTATCGAGTACGCTTCTTCAAGACAATTGAGACCATCCAAAGTCACTTTATTATGCCCTCCACATTGAAATATTTACGGAGGTGATGTCAGGATTGCTACAGTACCTAGAGAAATTCGAGAGCAAGAAGGATTCTTCCTCTAATTTATTTTGTTTCTCATATTTTCCAATAGATCGTTAACCTTGAGCCTTCCTAGGGACGGATTATATAGGCATGAGTATTCATTCAAAAAGTTCTCTCAATCATTTTCCCAATCACTTATTGATTCATTCAATACCTATGAATACTATGTCAAAAAGATTCTGCAACTATCTCAGTAAAATAGCGTTTAATTCAGGGTGACTTCTTATTTTAATGTCCGACCACTGAACATCAAAATTTACGATATTATAAATCTGAGAGGGAATTGCAATAATCTTACATTCTGTCGTAACGAGCTTGTTCCATGTTAATAACTATTTATCCATGTTTGCCTCACGATGAGGATAGATTGGGAGACAAGACAGGATGAGACAGGCAAGACCCTTGGCTCCATCCTTATTCCAATCTTGTCTGACGTCTTAATCAGATTAGCAGGTATATTCATGCCACAAGATATTTTGGTTAACATACGGGACTTCTGAATAGTAATTAGCCTGATGTAAAAAGTTCCAGGTCATAGATTGGTTAGGTACCTTGCCCATTTCCACGAAACTCACTTGTTTGATGATCACATAAACTCCTTCATTTCGAATAGAACATTTTAATAAATCGATTGGGACAAATGACCTATGCTGGAGAAGTGAGAAGTGAATCTTTGATTGCATGCACCTTCTCAAACAGGATTGAAAAAGTATGAGAGTGAAAAGAAGTCTACGAACATTTTCACACTCAGTGAACTGCTCGACTGAGTTCAGCTTGCTACGAACAAACATCATATTATAACAATATTCTTGAGAAGAAAATGTCCCAGAAAAACGTACCATGATTTCTACAGGGTGAACTAAAAATCGAAAAAGACTGATCGAAATCAACTTCTATTTCTTCTGATGCATTGTTGGCTAGGATTCTTGTGAAATTTGAAACAGCAAATGAAATCATATACGAATCAAATAAATTCATATACACTGTGTCCAAGACATCCTTATCATCTTGGACACACTGTATAGGTACGCAATACAATCTTCCACCAATATAACTGTGTAAATCTAAGCTTTTGCCACTATAGTGAATAGTAAGATAGTTTGAAAATAGAGAATGTTATCCAAATTGGAAATTTTATTTATTATATTACCGATTTTTCGCTATAACATTATAACGCTCTGATGCAGTTGTAGTTCCCCAACAAATACTAAATACTTATATGAACAAATATGTCCCTTAAATTTCTAGAAGAACTTCCAACCACTTTACTTTTTCGAAAAAAAAATTCACCCTGTAAGAAGGGTTCACGAGCTGCTGCGGGCTAATATGTCCTCACATCATCAGGTATCCGTAGACGACTAACGATTCTGATGGAACAAGTTTTCATAAGTAAGTGAGATGACTCATTGTTGTAAACGAGTTTGACAAAGATGGTGAATGAAGAAGGGATGGAACCTAAATGATATACTTGTATAACTGTGGTATGACATCTTTTAGGATTCAAATGATTATCTTTTAAATTCCATCTTCTAACTTTAATCTTGTTCCATTTCAAATCTATAAGGTAACCTTTTCAGAACAGACAGAGTGATCAGTAAAGGTGACCTGTAAAAGAACGTTGAATTTTCACGTTCATCTGATGGCATTTTGTGGTTGAAATGTTTCATTTAGCAGTTATACGATGTATAATTGTATAGCTGAATTCTTCTTGGTGTATACTTCACCCTTTAGAATTTGGGATGTTTTTCTGGGACACCTTGTATTGACAACGAAAATCAAACATCAATATATTAATATACGAAAGGTAGAACACATAAAAAGAATTCCGTGTTTTGTGGACGGAACAATAATTTATTATGTTCGATGTTGTCGAATGTCTATAATGATACAAAGTTGCAAATGTGCATGGCTTAAAAA